GGCATTCAAGCTCCAACAATATGAACTCGGTATTAAATATTGAAGAGGCTCATTAAACCTCGTTGCGGACGCGCTCTCACGCCAACCTGTCACCGCCGCCGCCAATACCCCCCGCGCTACCCATGGTACCGCCGACTCCTCGCAGCCGTTCAGATCGATCCGCACCGACACCCCGACCACGTGCCACCTGTTGCACAATCTCGATTTCAAAGAAACCCCCACCGACCAACAGTGGAAAGAATGCGTACCGGAAAGAACGACGCGATATAATACTACACGAAAACCATGACGCGGCTACTACGGGCAATCTAGGGATCGCAAAAACGATGGCACGCGTCATGCAAGTATATTACTGGCCCGGAATGGCCCGCGACATTGCCCACTACATCCGCGAATGTAAAAACTGTCTTAGACACAAAGTACTGCAAACCAAGCTCGTCGAGATACACGCAACCGCTACGCACCGTCCCTGGTAACACGTCACCCTCGATTTAATCGGGCCGCTGCCGCGAAAAAGGGGAATATATGGTTAATCACGATGCAGGATTGATTCTCGAAATGGCACGAAATGAATGCTCTGCGACGCGCAACAACTCCGATTATTGCAGGAGCTATTAGAGAACGAATTATCCTCCGCCACGGATATCCGGAAATTATAATTTCCGATAACGGGACGCAATTCAAGTCAACGCAACTTGATCACCGCGTACGAAATCCGACATACGTATATGCCAGCGTATGCGCCGCATTGCAATCCGGTCGAGCGAACGAATCGCACCGTTAAAACAATGATTCCGACCAGATACCAGCCGTTAAGAGCTAAATATTGCAGAATATAAAAATAATCGCCGATGACAGTAGCAATCGCCGATCCGACCGAACGTGACTGAAGATCGATCAACATTTCGTGATAACCGCCGCTCCAACCGAACGCGATCAAATATCGCCGATCGACGATCCTCTCCGTAAGAATTGCCGACCGAGGAATAATGAAACAAAACGAGCGGGAGCATGAACAATTAATATAAAAAATTCCGTCCTATAGCTCTTGGCTCCGACCGAAGATCAGTTCCTTACTCTAGTGAACCGACCAAGAAAAACGGAGTAGAGCGTTCTCTGCCTCCGTCGAGCGTTCTCGATAGTCGACCGTCCGGCTAACGCCTCCAGTGCATCCGCATAATTACCTGCGCCGATAAGCGTTTTCCTCATTGCATCTAGGAAAACGTCCATCGACTATTCGCGCCGTGATATCCGCCGCTGGCGTATACTCGCGTACGCGAACTACCCGCGTCATAATACCGCCGACCGCGCTCCGCGAATCCCGCGTCCGTCTCGTATCGGAATTTAAAGATCCCACGTGTTATTGTACTCGCGCCGTAATCGACACCGCCGTTTTTCTATTCGCGTTTCTGTCACCGTCTTGTACACGTCCCGTCTATTATTCATCTCGCCGACACACACACACATACATACTTGTATATGATACACGAACACATACAATATACGTATGTCTTGTTTCTTTTGCTTACATCGAGTCAACGAATTTATTTCTGCTTTTTCTCTCTCCGAGCAAACCTCTTCAGGCGACTTGTATAATTCCAGCAAGGTAGTCCGCGCGGAAGTAATGTTGTTTCAAATTAATAAGATTAAGTATACATTTCTCAATAAAATTAAAAGATCACGTGTTCCACCCTGCAGAAATAGGCAAACTTTGAGATAGAATAACTTCGTCAAAAATTATCGTATCGAGATGTTTAAAAAAGCATTTTGAAGCTTGAAATCTCTACTTATCAGACTTGTACTTCAAAAAACGGTCTTACTGATATTTTGTGAAGTTGCACAATCATAAATAAAAGTGTGTCCAACCTAAGAATTTTTTACAAAATTTGCCAAGTTCCACGGGGCCAAGTAAAAATTGTGCACAAATGCGGTTTACAGCTTTCGAAAGAGTGAATCTTTACCTTCAATTTACTTTTTTGTTGAGCTCTGATTTTTTCTCACCGAGTTATTCAACGTTGAAGTAAAAAGATCAAGCGAATGTTTTTGCTTCAACGTTAAATAACTCGGTGAAAAAAACAGCTCAAAAAACAAATTATAGGTGAAAATTCACTCTTTCGAAAGATATAAATGGCATTTGTGCATATAATTTTTAATTCGTACCGTGCAACTTCACAAATTTTGTATAAATTTTAAGATTTGATGCATCTTCATTTATGTTTGTGTAACTTCATGAAATATTGATTGACTTGCAACATTATAATAAGGGGAAGAAAGCGAGAATGCCACTATGAAGCAATATTTTGTAGATTTCTAATTATTTTATAATAAGAGATATTTACTGTAACATTGAGAATGACTCGATCGGTGTCGAAACGTTTGTAATTATTTTTATTTTTATGTTTTAAATTAAACGTTCTTTAACGTTATTATATGGTATAACTGGCTCTTAGCCTTTCACACAATTGTTTTATTTTATTTTACCTAAGATCGTCTTTTATTATTTAATTTATCTTTAAAATATTCTTAAAGAACTTTATAATTTCTTGATATAGCCTCTGACCATGATTAAATTGACGTCATATGCATCCATGTTGCCATTAATTTAGTACATGTATTTTAAATTTGACGTTACCCGTTCTCCACGGACCGAAGAATTGGTTTAATGATTTTTATAATATGTACATCACATTCAGCGTATATCAGAGCTCAACGTGTGCTACCGGAGGCACAGAGTTTCCCCCACTTAAGCGTTCATTATTTCCCTCATCGCTCCGTTGACGCCGTAATGCTGTTCCTCGCGCGCTGCCGCGTTCGGCGCTTTTCAGCGATATTAAATTACGTTAATATTATTATAACTAACAATGTATAAATAATGTGTGACAAATTTGTTTCAAAATAGAAATACCCAGAGAAAGATTTAAAGAAATGATTCTTTGCTATACGGTTAAAGAAAAAATTTCTTTGATTTGAACATTATTTTTTGAACTCAAATAAAAAATTTATTTGACTTTGAAGAGTGATATTTAAATTAAAGAAATTATGTCCAAATCGAAGATATTTCTTTGAATCAAAGAAAACTTCCTCTGAGTGAATGGAATAATCTTAACAATAAAGAAAAGGTCAATTAAGAATTTAGAAAGAGCTTTTGAAAAATACTCCGTCAGGCTTACATTCCAATTATAGTCACAAATTACAATTTGCTTTCCCTCTCCATCCTAACCTAATTAACTTACATGCGCTGCTCATGGACCTATGGCAGCAGCGCATGTAGATTAGTATGGAGAGGGAAAGTGCGAATCATGCTGTTTCACTCTGACGGTTTTCTTGTCTGTTCTATAGACATGTGGTGGGGATGCTCGGTCCATATATTATAGGTCCATGGTTGAAGGGTGCCGCCGCGCTGCCCGGCCCGCCCGCGCTGTCACGGTACTCGCGCACTCCCGTACACCCACATACCATATATGCGTACACCCTCGCGGACGAGATCTCTCTTCCCAGCGCACACCAACAAACATAAAGCACAATCACGAAGACGATCACAACACTCAAGCACTTCTCGACTTGAAGGAAAGAAAAAAAAGAAAAAAAACTGATAAATTATAAATAGAAAATGAAAGGAGTTATATTTCGTAATTTTGAACCAGTTAAAAGTAATACAACGGACAAGAAGATTATATGTATACAACCTATGTTGTATACACGCGGAGAAAATTAAAAACTAGAATAAATGAACACCGTAGTCACATACGTTGGAATATTTCCTCCAGATCTGTCATTACCAATCATAGAGAATTTGAGCACAATCATGAATTTGATTGAAATTGTGTAGATATGCTTGAATTTTTTTATCACAAACGTTTAATTTCAGAAATACTTTATATTAAAACACAAAGAAACTGTCTCAATTTTAATTTTAACAGATATTGAAGGCCTTGTACATTTCATATTCGCTGATGATGATCCAAACAATGGGATCAAAACGTTCGAAATTTTGAATCTAAGATATGTTTGTTTATAAATTGCATATTATTAATAGCGTTTGAATTCTCATAACCATTAACATTATTCTTATCCATTACTTTTTCTGTATTTTGTTTGGAACATAAAGGAGTCTAATTTAATTTTTCGATTTTTGATTATTGTTATTTATTTTTGAAAAACTTCTACTGTTGAAAAAAAATGAAAAATATAACATAGTTTTATTCAAAGTTTTTTGTATTTGGACCTTACTTAACATTCGCTTTGCATCAAATTCAAATTTCAAATAATTTCAACAGTGATTACATTAAATTCAATACTCAAGTGGCCAATTACTGTACACTTTATCCTATATAAAAAATTCCTTACATGTAATGTTAAATTAATTACGTAATGTTAAATTAAAACAATAAAAAAAAATGTGTGAAGAAAAATAAACATATAAAGCATAAAAAGGATGGATATAACCTTCTCTCTCGTATAGAGTTGTGCCATGGAAATATAAGGACAGAGCATTAGCTCCGATGGGGGGGGGGGGGGCGACTGTGCCTAAAAAACACATACACACAACGCAACCAAACATGGGTTGTGCCCACTTAAGCCTTATCACGGCGAGATTCTGATAGAGGAACTCTGAATGCGATCGTTGGAGAGCGTTGAACGCGACGGCGGAGAACAGCATTACGGCGTCGGCGAAACGGCGAAGCGGGAGAGATCAATGAATGAGGCGGGGGGAGTGAGCATTTGCCCACCCCTGGACGTGCCCCTCTCCGAGCGATAGACCGTTCAATATAAGCGCGTATTGATGAGGGCACGCCGAATTTGTAAAAATTTTTTTAACATTTTAATTATTGGAACTATTACTATTGTTAATGTAAAATTTAATTCTATTTTAAATAGCTGAAAAATAAATCGTAGTGGATATTATGATGATAAATGTATTTCTGTTTTTAGAGTTCCTCTGTTTATATTTATTTATATTTACTTACAATTACGATATATCATGTATGCATTGTACTTACCTTGCGCCATAATCCCCGCTGACACATCATGAAGAAAGAACGTTTGCGGTCTTTTCCTGAGTTCTCGTACATGTTGGTGCGTCTAGCCGCAACTACCCTCTGCTTGACAGTGAACCAACGCGGACGCCTACACCAGGGTGCGTCTATGCACAGTCAGATAGTCCTCACGATCACACTGTGAGTCCTCCTCCCCTCCCTCCTGTAAATATACATTTATTAGATACAAGAGTCATTTAATTTTATTCATTTTTTCATTTACCATATTAAATATTTATTTATTGTAAGAAAATGTTTCGCTAGGATTACTCAAAGAAATATTTTTTAAAATTTAATAAATTTTTTCTCAGAGTGTATGATATCTTAAGATAGAGTAATAAAAAATTAAAAGAAAAGAAAGAGAATACAGAGAATAAAAAACTTTGGGTGGATATCCTGTATGCATTGTACTTACCTTATGCCATGATCCTCGCTGACAAATCATAAGGAAAGGTCTGCGATACAAGCCTTTTTCTGAATTTTCGTGCATGTTAGTGAAGTTTAGCTGGTCGTCTAGCCGCAACTATTTTCTGCTTTAACCCTTGTGTACGCACCCAACTTTACCACAATGTTGTTAATCCCTTCCTTACAAAAAAAATTCTTAAAAATTTCCAACTGCACTTGCAATTTTAATTTTCAGTCCACTTACATGCAAAAATGGTGGAGTACCCGGGGTACTCGGGTGCGCACACAAGGGTTAACCAACGCGAATTCTTACACTAGCGTACGTCTATGCAGTCAGACAGCCCTCGCGATTACTGGAAATCCTCGTCCCCTTCTCCCGACTTGAGCCTACACGCACCCGCGTACCTTGTTTTGTGCGCGCCCCAGGCAATGCGTCGCGTATCGATTGGTTTTTTAGAATACGTTTTCTAACAAATATTAACGTATAAGTAGCCGAAGGCTAATCGTGTGATGCAATGCGAGGTATGGAACGGCAAAAAAACAATCAATCGAAACGATTATAGCCGACTAACTACTGAATACTCTAAAGGGTGATGTTGGTCACTGTCGACACTACTGCTGCTGCTGTTAGTGTTAGTGCTGATGGTGCTGCTGCTGGCTCTGTAGCAAAAGCTCTGTAGTTGGAGGATCAATAAAAGGAGGAGGAGAAAGGCAAAATGAATACGCGCCCGAGGAAGAAAAAAAGAATGTTGTGGGAGGTCCTCCCCTCCGTTCTCTCGCTGCTACAACGATTCGCTAAATTGTAACTGTTAAAATATCAAAGTGACTCTGCCTCTCCCTCCCCTCCTGCCCTTTTCCTCCTCCTTCCTCTCTTTCACTCCCCCTCATATCATCACCGATTTAACAGTCTCACAATTATTAATATTCAAGTTTATTGAACTTTCAACGAAGGTTTTCCGATAAACGTTCTTCTCTTTCAAGAACTTCCGATATTAAATTAGAATCGCAATAATATATTAATTTCTGTGGTGAAATAGCGTCTCTGAAACAGAATAACAAATATGACTAATTATAACGAAATTTTGTAAACAATAATATAAATTTACTGTGGTTTAGTAATAAACAAAGGAAACAAAGAGATTGAAATGAGCACAACGCTGGATAGATTTAGCGAAAATATAATGTATTTCGTGGAATATTAAAATTATGAAATTTTATTTTTAGAGAGTACTATTAATGTAATATTAATATCTTTGATGTTAGTTTTATATAAAAATAGTAATGATTTTAATATGAGAATGTAATCAGCCGATTAGATAATTTGTTAATCTGTCGCCTGTCATTTTAATACAATTCTAAACAACTAATTAGTTATGTTTACAAAAACTGATGGTATGTTGTAAAATGGAATATTGCGTTAATTATTCTCATAATTTTTATCATTCATCCAGTTACGCAAATTTTCATTCTATATTATCACAGCTTGAATCATAAATTTATAATTTACATCTCGTTTGCCATTGCATAGCAATTATTAATAAAAGCCTCTCCTAAACTAACTATACTTTAAGTAGGAAAAAAAATCAGTTTTAATCATTCACTTTCTATATTTATCCTGTCATGCATATGTAGAAGGAGCGAAAACTGTCATTCTTAAATTACAGCCAGGACTTTCGTGCAAAGTTGTTTTTCCCATTGTCGTTTGACCAATTTCTATCTAACAACAATGACGTCATTTCAGAGAATGTCAGATCAATGATTCCCGGGGAATTGGTAGCAAATGCTTCCCTGCGCATCCCTCTTGCATCTGTCTAACTTAGAGATAGTTCCAGCTGAGTGGTAGAATGTGCAATTGCGCGTGCTACTAACCCACGTTAGTTTTCGGTCGAATGAAAGTTATAAGAAAAACCAATAACAATATCGAGATATTATTGTAACCGAGAAAGGTACCATCTGTGAAAATCGTTTCAGAGAGAATCTATCACCACACAAAGGAGGCACTTTTTAAAAAAAATTACGCCGGGAGATCTTATACTTTTTACGTATTTTCAACGATTAAATTTGGATATATCGCATCCGCATAGAACAGAAAGCAAGTGATTCATAGCAAAATCGCTTTTCTATTATCTGCTAATTATCTGTACAATTACCTCAGCTATTAAATGTCAATAGTTAATTTATCGAATTAACATAAGCCTCATTATTAAACGCGTTGCCTGAATAACTCTCCGCATTGCTGGTACGTTTGTTTCGGTTTCCTCGAATGAGAGACGCTGCTGGCACAACGTCATACAGTTTAACGAGGCGTTCGATACGAAGATTCCGTAGTGGGGGTTGCTACACTGAAAAGAGCCTAAAGGGAAGCACCGGAAGCACGATTCTAACGCAGTTGGGATGGAAATATGGATGCAAAAGAGATATCAAAGAAAAACCAGCATGGAAAAAAAGAGGCATTTCATATCATGGTATAAGTGTTTTCGCGAATGTTATTTGATCATTATACATTAATGTACATTATATTCTGTAGCTATACTCATTTCGCAGTTTTTTCATTTGTTTTCACGAATTTGCATGCCCTCGCAGTATTTTTCAATATTTAATCGGCTTAGCTCTCGTATAGTCCTGCGCTCGTTACTAAAAATAGTAAAAACCTCTTTGTTTTGTGACTCATCAACTTAATGAATTGCGCTTTGCATTGATGTAAGATGCGTAAATTCGTATATAATCCTGATCCGAGATTTCTCTTAATCCTTGCCTCCGGATGCGAGTCAGTGCGTCACACCACCTCCACTATCAATCTCTATTCCATTCATAAATCGGCTCTCGTAATTTGCTAATTGGCCAGGACGGCCAATTTTTATATTTCGCCACGAATTGTTCTCGTTGCCGCAGGAAAAGTTTAATGCCTGCAAATTACGCATTGAAAAATAACAGCGGACTTGCTTGATCACTCGATTTCCTTGCTATCTCAATTCGCAAACATTGCAAAATATTGGGAGAACCGTTTACGAATAATTTCACTTATGGTCAACCATAAACTTGGTCATGCTTTCTTTTTTGTATCATATCCAAACATAAATTAGCCTATATAAACTTCTACTTTTATAAATGCATTACGCGCGCCGCTATATCAGTTCTATAAAAAAATATTCCTTTTATTCCGTCAAGCGGAAACAATAAAACAACGGTTTATTGCTTTTGTTCATTCAAATTCATGGAGCTACGCGGATCGCGAAACATCGATTTTCTCTGAATAGAAACTATGTGTAGAATAGTAGCACCATTCACAGATAGAGTATACGAACAATACAGAAATTCTCGAAGTTCGTCATTATTAATTAATTAAGGTATTATTCTATACGCGTGAAACACGTATTCGACATAATTGATACGTCTGAATGATTGCATCGAGAAACGAAATTGCAACAAATTAAAAATATTGGTAGAATTTACGTCAGATTCTATAACGATTAAATGTAAAAATGCCATAAAATATATTTTTTCATTCACACATTTCTAAGAGCATAATTAAAACAATCTATTTTACCCAACAGAAAACGAATTAAAATTAGAACCCAGACTGAAGTGAAAGCGATAAAGAAAGGAAGAGATAACACTATATAGTTCCATTATATCCGAATTGGCAAAAATTAATAGCTTCTCAAATAGTCTTCTTTCGAATTTTGCAACAAAATATATTTTTACGAAAAATCTTACTCATATTGAAATTATTTGTTTTAAGTTTTAGTACTACTTTGAAATTATATAATTAGTCTCAAATGCGTTATAAAACAAGAGACCTATGATATTTTTATCATCTTCAATCTATATTTATCTGTAAAAAATTATACATATATATGCCTGTTTTTGTTGTGAGTAAAAAGTTACAATATGGGTAAGCTACTTTCTTCCAACAAAACAGTATCGCCATCGCTCTGAAGAAAGCCGACTTTGCTGAATTTTTCGTTCTATAGACGTCTACATATACTACTAGACTGCTAAAGGCCATGGAAATAAGACTTAAGCAGTAAACGAATCGACCAATCTCTCATATATATAGTAGAAATTAGAGACCATAACATAAGCACACACAGTAGCGTCCAACATATTGATTTTCTTACTGCTTAAGGGTCAGAGTAGTAATCATGTTTTCTTTAGAGCGAAAACGTGGAAAGTAAAAATTTGTATGTATGTATGTATGTTACACACACACACACACAAAATTTTTATTTTTCATGTTTCCACTTTAGGAAAAATATTACATGATCACACTACCCTGAGCACAATAATGGTCATGAAATTTACTTTCAAATTTTAATTCAACTTTAATAAGTTTAAAGCCGATATTCATAGTTCGTTCTTATTTTAAGATCGTTTTAAGTAATGTCTTAAAATGCTAATGCGACTCTCTCATTTGTTCGTGACATCTTAAAACGGTACTTCAGACAGCTTCAGATATAGGCCGCTTTTCTTTTAGAAGACACAGTCGACACATTTAACACAAATGACAAGTCGACACTCGCTTTTCATTTACAATTTTGTTCGAACTTAATGAACGCCTCTGCTTGAGAAAAGAATCGGAGTGTGTTACAATTAAAAATCTTAATAACTCTGTTTAACATATTGATTATTATTATTTATATATTATTTATGTTATATATTTATTTATATTTATGTTATATATTTTATTTATTTATTTTATTTTATTTTATTAATTTTCTTTTATGTTATTTTCCATGTGTTATAGATTATTCAAATAATTACCCGTTGTAAATAAAAACTATTATTCATCCTCTTTCTGACCATATGATGATTTGCATCAACTTGCATTGATTATTCTCACTACAGCATAAACTGATACATATATCACTGCGCATACTCGCGATGCTCGACGCTCGACGCTTGATGCTCCCATGTAAAGGCACTTTTACGCCGAAACGCAAAGCCGTTTTCGACGCATGCGTATAAGATTACATTCAGAAACGTTAGCCGGGTGCCCTCTGGCTGCTTTAGCTACCCGGACTGCCCGGGCTGCCACCCGCCACTATTTCTGTATATTATTTTTTTAAATATTAGATGAATAACAGTGATAAAACGGTACACCAAGGTACTCGGAAAACGTTACTGATTACTGAACGCAATATAAAGGAGCGATTTTACGCATACATGCATATCCATAGCTATTTTCCTCACAGTCCCATTTATAGCTGAAAACATCGATGAGAAAATTCAAATTTTAATATCTCGCTGCAAATGCCGTTTATGTTCTTGTGAAGCGTAAAATATCGGAATATAGATTAAAATTTTGAAATATATACTTGTATATTGATGTGATAC